TTGACATAATATAGTATTTTTTTCACCTAGTATATATGTCAGTTGTAAGACTATTTACTGGTAATTGGTTTTATATGAAACAAAGAATCAGCGACTCCCATAGTTAATGCAAGTGGTGTTGTCTGCTACTTTCTATATGCATTGTGATCCTTACTATTTTGGTTTACAGTTAACAAACAGCCATGCAGGAACATAACATAAAGAGCAAAACTATCAAATAGCTCAACTTATTGAGCTTAAAATTTTTGTCTATAAAGAAATATACAAAGAATTCATACATTGTACTACTAAGAACTCTATTCATGTTAACAGGTGGTTTTCCACTGGAACCTTTTATTGTGCTCAGCTGTTCTTGAAGAATATAATTAGATAATATTGAATTCTTCACATAATAATAATACTATGTATTATGTTTATGTGTACATTACAATAATATGCAATCCCACAACAGTATATATGTATGAACAATTACTGAAGAAATTATTGGACTGATGATCACCTTGTAGGGGTCAGATTAGAAAAGAAAATTAACCTCAGAAAAAGATCACTTAAAACTTAGATTAACCAGTTTGCTTTAAAAATGCAAACCTGAATAATCTGCTTAGGACAGGGGAAATAAAATTAAATGTAAAGAATTTCACTTTATAAATGGTATAAAGATTTAGTGAATAAGAGGAAATATTCTATGAAATTGGCAAATATATATGATTCAGTTTTTAAAAATTCTTTGTCTTTAATTGTAACTGATAATCCAAAAAAGATATTGTCAATGTAGCTTATGTGTAATCAAGCAAGGACTTTTTTGTTTTTGTTTTTTTAATTCTCAGCTATAACACCATGACAAGTAGTTTAAACTAGCAACTCAATATACTGTGAATTTTTTTGTTGTTGGTTGTGGGGCCTGAACTCTGGGCCTGGGCACTGTCCCTCAGCTCTTCAGCTCAAGGCTAGAACTCTACCACTTGAGCCATAGCACCACTTCCGGCTTTTTTCTGCTTATGTGGTGCTGAAGAATTGCACCCAGGGCCTCATGCATGCAAAGCAAACAACGCTACCACTGAGCCACCTTCCCATCTCCTTTTTACTTTTTTAACATAACAAACTTATTATGTATTTGAAAAAGTATTGTGTGACACCCTGGTAGATTTTACCTTAATTTTTAATTAACTTTAATAATGCTCGTTATAATGCTGTGTTTACCATCATAGTGTTGAAAAACAAAAGGATAGATTGAATTTATGTCATTTTTAACCTTTAAGGAAAGAGAATATCAAGCACAGTGGTAGACACCTATAATCCCAGCTACCCAAATATGATTCAGGAGGATAACAGTTCATGGCCAGCCTGGGCAAAAAGTTAGCAAGACCTCCATCTCAACAAACAAGCTGGGTGTGGTGTTTCACATCTATAATCCTAACTATTCAGGAAACATAGTTAAGAAAATCTTAGCCCGAGGCTAACCAAGGCAAAAACATGAGACCCTATCTGAAAAAAATAACCTAAATGCAAAAGAGCTAGAAGCATGATTCATAGGATAGAGTAGTTGCCTAGCAAGAATAGGTCCTGAGTTCAAACCCCAATGCCCCTATAATTAATGAAAGACGATTCTCATCAGGACTATTAGTGTCTGGAGAGTAGCTATTGGCTTTGAATTTCTAGATGAACTTTGTACTGCTGAAATGTATTTTGCACAAAAGAAAATAATTTTCAAACAAGGTCCTTAGTTGGTAGAGATTACCCAGAAACAAAATCCATTGAAACTCAAATTCAATGAAAGCTGCTCAAGATGAAGGCTGAAAAGGAAATGTAGACCGAAGATCTCATTTCTCCCCTTCTCCTTGTGCTACTTTGCTGACTTGTTACTGGATTTGAGTAAGCCACACTTTTTTTTTGTAACTTAAACTCCTAGATTCCTACATTAGGCTTTCCATATACATCATAATCTTAGTGCTAATTTTAAAAGGATACTTTATTACAAATAAGCAACTGTCATTCTTCAGCTTTCTATAATTAATCATATTTTTGTGTGAAACAAGGTGGTTTGTATAAGAGGCTCAACAAATCCGAAGCAGTTCAGTTGCTGGGCTAGCAATGCTAGGCTGGAATTCTGTGTGTGGTGCCGCTTGTCTACGGAATAACAGGGGAAACAGGACTTGTGTTTCCTCTTGCACCCAAATCCCCACTTTTTTACTCTTCCCTCATACTGGTTTGTCAAGTGAGCAGAGGCTGAAGGATTGGCACTTTACTGCTCAAAAGCTGCCTGTTTTTTCTGCTAGAGTATTAAGAAATTCAGTCTAAAGAAATGAACATCAAAGCTGGGCACCGGTGCCTCACATTTGTAACTCTAGCTACTCAGGAAGCTGAGATCTGAGGATGATGGTTCGAAGTCAGCCAGGGCAGGAAAGTCTGTACGAGTCTTATCTCCAATTAATCACAGAAAAAGCTGGAAGTGGTGCTATAGCTCAAGTGGTAGAGTGTTAACCTTGAGCAAAGGGAGCTTAAGGACAGTTCCTAGGCCCCTAGTTCAAGGCTCAGGACTAGCAGAAAAGAAAAAAAAAAAAAAGAAATGACCATAACTGTACTCATATGGGAAATAACTGTGTCTTGGACTGTTCATGTTTATGGGCTAAGTACCTAACCAGTCTTGTGTCATTTTGTATATGGGAGAGTGTGCTAGCAACATGGCACCACAAGGAATGAGGATGGCCCTGGTATCCAAAGTGGTTAAGACTGCAGTAATAGAAAGCCAAGTCTTCTCTTCCCAGGAGCTGTACTAGGGCTCAGAGCCCTTTATCTGGGTGTGAGATGCAGTTGTGTGTTTTTCATTTCAGAATGGCTTCTCATTTTAAGTAAGTGAGCTCCCCATATTTCTAATCCTTACGGCACAGGCCAGGTGGATCATGTCTCGTTTTACAGTGACTAATGGATAATTTGACACTCTGCTTGCTAAAAACGACTCAGCAACTCAGTACCTCAGGACTTCTGCACTGATAAAGTGATACAATGAAAGCATGTGGTAGATGAATGGATTTAGCTCTTTTTGAAGTCTGATTTTCAGATTCTTCCAATTACTGACTTTCCCATCATTTAAAATCCTGGATAAAGTCCACATTAAAAACATCTTTCTGAAGTCAGAAAAGTGATTTGGAAACATTTGAATTTAATTATTAATTTTCACTTTCCATTTAAAAGGCAGTTTCCTGGTAGTCGATAAGAGTATGTTTTTAAAATTTTTGTTTTATTTTAGGGTTTTTTTTGGTGTCAGTACTGGTACTTGAACTCCAGGCCTGGGAACTGTCCTTCAGCTTTTTTGCTCAAGGCTAGTTGTGCTCTACCATTAGAGCTATATTACTATTTGTGTCTTAATTAATTATATCCTTATCCTCAAATTAATTAATTGAACTTCAATCCTCAAATCTCAGTTTTCTGAGTAGCTAGGATTATGTAAACCACCAGCACCAACAGAAGTATGTTTTTTGTACCTATCTTTTAGGAGCTAAATTGGGGAGAGAAGGATAATAGCAGGATGTCAGTAAGCTGTAAAATATACAGTCAAGGGTATTAGAGATACCAAGAGGAACAAAAGGATGATTCTAGCTGTAGTGGTCAGAAACTTTGAAGAAAGAATGTAACAGTTGTGTGAGCCTTGCTGGTAGGGGTATTTCAGTGGGTGAAGATCATAGCAGCAGAGGCTGGCATAGTATATTCAAGGGAGCATGAATAAAGGCCAGCATAGTGCTTAAGACCACCGACTATGAAACCAAGGCTGTGCTAGTTCTAAACTACCTTTTTTTTTTTGCTGTTTCTTAACCTTTCTTTACCTCAGATTTCCCATAAAGTACTTGTTATATTGAAGTTGTAGACCTATTGTAGACCTACAAGAATCTGCCTTCAAACACTGGTAGCACAGATTAAGTATAATTAGTACACTGTGAGTATAGGGAAGCATAGAAGACAGGTGTTTTCAAGATGGTGTGGATTCACTGACATCTGGACTCTCAGGACTGATGTGGTTTGTGGAGAAGAGCCACAACTAGTTACCTAGCAGAACCGAGGAGATAATGGTTAAGAGGATTATAATACTCCAGACTGAACAGAATTCAAGACCAGGACTCAGTGGTGGAACCTGGGCTTGGATTAGGAAGGAGGGACTGACTGGGAAACATTTACTGAGAAACGGTTGTTAGGGTCTGAGGGGGAAGCCTTGGGGCCACAGAGGCAAAATGCCATTAGTGCCTGTCTTAAGTGGGAGAACTCAAAATAGAGTTCTTAGGAAGAGCCACAGTATGTGCAAGAAGACGAGGGAGATCCATTTCACGAGTCAAGAAGTGAAGGACAATCACTGAGTGTGGCATTGAAAGGCTTATATGCTGCTCCAAGAAGAGAAAGTAAAGAGCCAGCATTGAACTGTTTTAGTAAATGAGATAACAGGGAAGAAGCTGCATGAAGTGAACATTATAGTAATTTTCTTTACTGTTCCTTTAAGAGAAAGTATAAGCCTACAACAGTGGAAAAATGTCCTTAACCCAGTGGACTCACTTGATGTGTGGGCAGTCATGGAGCTCCGTGGACTGCCTGTAGCACTGTAGATGTGTTAAGTGTCCATTAGTGCTGGGTCCAGAATTGCATAATCTCAGTCTCTGGTGGCCATTAGGCGGACGAATTTAAAGATAAGGCCTTTGGGTAGATAGAAAACTTTGAGTAGCTGAATCAGGACAGTCCTGTACGAATGCAAAAAAAGAAGACAAAAATCAAGAATTGTTTCTGATCGGATATCATCAGGATCTGCTCTTACCAAAGGTTTGAAAGCAGGAGCAAAGATGGTTCTAGGTTGCTATCCTGTATGCCTGGGAATTGAGCATACAATCCACGAATACAGATTAGAAGAGAGAAGTTAGTGAGTTCGTTTTATATCTTTAACACCCTGAGATTTCTAATGTATCTAGGGCATATTATTTTGATGTGTTCTCATTCTGATTCTCCCGTGATTTAACCTTTAGCACCTTCTACTGGAAGAATCTCAAACAATGTGACTTCCTCAGGAGCCGGGGAACCAGCTGGCTCAGCTGCGGGGCAGCCCCAGCCCAGCGACCAGGACACATTGGTGCAGAGGGCAGAGCACATCCCCGCAGGGAAGCGAACTCCCATGTGTGCCCACTGCAACCAGGTCATCAGGTTGGTTATTTCTTTGAAAATTTCTGAGAAGTACCTATGTTGTGGGTATTTCAAATACTCTATCATGTCGGTAACTTTATTAGTAAATTCGTTCTTGCAATAACAGTATGGTGGTGGCACACCTGGCCCGTGGTCTCTCCTTTCCTTGCTCCACAATCTCACCATGCTAAATAAATGCGTTTTATTAGAATGTATTTAATAGGATATACTTCTGGGTCTCAGAAAAGAGTACTTCTACAGGATTATCTGGTAGAAATAAACTAATATAAAATCGAGTGTGCTTTATCCTGATAAATAAAACAATATTTTTTATCTTTAGGTTTAATAGTAATAAAAACAAAATAAGCACTGGCTTATTATGAAGTTTCTGTAAGTAATAATACTCTGGTTGTCCAGACTGGTGTTTGGGAATTCTATATGCTGTATTCTGAATTAGAACTCACTCTCTTATGGAAATAGTAGTCACTGCTGTCATTTGTGTGCTGTCATGAGCAAGTAAAATTCCTGGATGAGATAACATGTCCCACCCTATCAGTTGCAGATTCTTGTCTGATTGTCCAATTCCGTAATATAATTACTACTATTCACACTTTGGGAAAACCTAATGAGGATGGAAAAAAAATATGAAGATCGAAGTAGAAGTTAGTGTTACCACACCTATCTTGCTTTGGCTTCAGATTTCATGTGAGAACAGCATGTAATTTTAATGCACAGACATCCTGCCATAAATATGTATTATGCTAATATTGTAAAGGACTAGCACTTACTGCTCCCTCACCTGTTCAAATTTTACATTGTTCTGTATTATACTGTACTTATTATCGTTTAAACATTAAAGCTTCACCTACTAAGGAAGTTAATAGGGATGGGGATTAGTTCATGTAAGATCATGTAACAATAATTAACATAGCACATTTGCCTGGAGCTCAGATGCCAGCGCAGCTTGAATAGATTGTGGTTAGGTCAGGAACCGGGTGGAAGCCTAATTCCAGTTCCTGGCCTGCGTGTCAGTGTCACTTACCCAGGCAAGGAGGTGTAGATCAAGTGACATTCTCTTGGACACCTGTTTTCAAAACAAGCTGCAGTTGCAGGCTTAATCCTTTTAACACCGAGTATTATACCCAGGCCAACGCTGAGAAGTGTAGGATTTAGTGTATAACTTATATGGTTAGTGTTCCGTCATAAACTCACCATGGTTTTAGAGTTCATGTTTTATATTTACTCTTTTAATGTTTCAAATTTTCAAAAATGATTCTTATATAAAGGCAAATTTTGTATTTTGTTGTGTTGGAGTTTTGTTTGTTTTGGAGCCTGTTTCTTTTTTTAGTAGTTACTTGTTTTGGAAAATGTCAAAACTCTGTATGTTAGTGCTGAGCTTATTATTGCTATAGAGCCTATACAGTTTAAAACTTCATCATCAGATTAGTTTGAAATCTTTTGGTTTGTTTGGATCTTGAAAAGTTTATGGATCTTTAAATTATTTTGGAGGTACTACTTTGACTAGTTACAAATGAGTGAGAAGTTAAACTTTGACACTTAAAGTTTGCCATGGAACATTTCCAGTACAATTATGATAATGCCCCTTTATCAACTTGATTTAGGGTGCTGTTTTGATGGGACAGGATACAAAATCAGACTAATCTAGCTGAAACCACATTTTAATTTTCCTGGTGGAATAGGCTTGTAAACATTCTAGTCTATTGGGGCTGGGAAGGTGGCTCAGTGGTAGAGTGCTTGTCTTGCATGCATGAGGCCCTGGGTTCGATTCCTCAGCACCACATAAGCAAAAAGAAAAAAGCCAAAAGTGGTGCTGTGGCTCAAGTGGTAGAGCACTAGCCTTGAGCTAATAAAGAGCTGAGGGACAACACCCAGGCCCAGAGTTCAGGCCCCATGACCGGACCCCCCCCCCCCAAAAAAAAAAAAAAAAACCCAAAACATTCTAGCCTATTTCTTGAGTGTTGCATCTAGTGGCATTAAAATCTGTGGCCATTTCTGTTGCATGGAATTAAATGAGCCCTTTATGTTTAGCTTCTTTGTAAAAGAAGTTGGAAATATATTGATTCTTTAGTTTCTAGGTCGATATGGAATGTTTTAAAAAATGACCACATTAGTATTGTTCTGTGTTTGCCTATAGTACAGCCCATTTTGACCACAATCAGGAAACCCATTATTTATTCCAGTGAAAGATGAGTGTTAACATTAGTGATGTGCTGTTTTGCTTAGTGACTCTCAAACTTTTTTCAGAAGGAGAGCTATTTCAAGTTATTATTTCAAGTAGCAAACAGTTTACAGCCTATTCTACCATCCATTTCAGTCTCAGAACACTTATTTATTGTCCCTTCTAGTTAAGATTTTACTTGAAAATGGGAGATTTCCCCTAGTGGTACTACTGATGCAGAAATTGAAGGTATATTCAATTTGGTATGTCTCACCAGAGTCATATGTTGAAGTACTAACCTTCAGTAGCTCAGAACATGACTATCGGAGGGGAATTTGGTCTTTAAAGAGGTCAGCTTGGTCATTAGGGTGGGCCTTAATCTGATATAACAGATATCATTGTAAGGGGAGACTCACAAAGGAAGGGGTAACCAATGCTTGACCAGAAATGTACTCATTACCTTACTCATGTAACTGTAAGCCCTCTGTACAGCATCTTTACAATAAAATAAAAGAAGAGGAGAGTCAGGCGCTGACATACCTATAGAGAATCCAGGTGAAGACAGAGAAAATGGCCATCTATACACCAAGGCCTTGAAGAACCACTCTGCCAACCTCTTGATTTGGGGCTTCTAGCCTCTATTATTTTTATTAAATTATATAAATTATTAATTTACATAAATTATTATTTAGGCCATCTATTCTGTGATAATTTGTTACAGTAGCCCACAACAACTAGAGAAAAACAAACACAAACAAGGAGGTCTATAGTAAAATTATTGCGGCAGGTTTAATCCAGGTAAGTCTTGGATTGTACAGGTACTCGGAGAAATAAGGATTATCTCGCTTGAGCAAACTTATTTCTTTCCTTTGAAAGGAGTGGCAAGTAATCAGCTCAGTATTCTACTTACCAGAGTTGTAATTTATACAAAAAATTCATTTTAAAATTTAGTATAAATTGCCTTATTGATATCATTGTATATGAAGTTTTAATAGGGAGTCCCTGTCCTTGTGTGTACAACAGGTTATACCTGTTAAAATTTGCAGTTCCTTTCTCTTTTTTACTTGGCATCACAGAAAATGAAGAAGGTCGAAAGTTTTGTCCCATAGTTCCTCTTTCTGAGCCAGTGAAATGCTTTAACTCTCTCCTTTCTTTTCCTTTGTCAGTCAGCCTAGTAAGGGCTCAGTTGCCTGGGCAATATGTAGAAGGTAAGGGAATTTTTTTATTCCACTTTACCCTTTACCAAGCCTGTCTGTCCAGTTCACAAAAGAAACCCAATCCTACCTTGGACAGGTAGAACTTCTTTAGTTGTTAATCCTGTGTTAATGAATTTGTTAAGTTAGTCTTCGCTGAAACAGGAAAGGAGCGCTTTTGTTACAGGCAAAAGGATTTTACTGTTTAATCTGTACATGAGTAAGAGGGCTTTGATGGGAAAGATGCGTGCTCTGTAAGTTTCAGGAGATGGGTTAAGCCATTGTTCACTCTGAGGGTGCTGGAAGGAGACCTACAAGAGCGAGGACCATTTTTAACTCCTTTTAGAGGCTCAGAGGGACTGTGTTTACCATCTACAATTCCATTCACCATTCATACCTGAATTTGAACTAATGAAGTCCTGTTCATTTTAATAGATCATATTCTAAATTATTAATACTGTACTCCATGCCTGAAATATTTTTTAAAAAGACTTCTAAGAATATATGAAATATATAAGACAAGATCAGGGGTGAGGCTATTAAAAACCAAGCTAGTACTAACTCTGAACAGTACCTAGATAATGACCAATGGTCCTTAGACCTATGGCCTATGATTAGGGTAGCAATTTTTCTTTCAGCTTTTTTTGCCAAAAAGAAAGTTTTATCATCTACTGCACAGCAAGCTAAGTTAAAAAATCTTGCTCAAATAACTAGTATATATCTGAGACAAGCAGAAAAGGTCAGATAAGATGATGGTAAGCGAAATGAACCCCAAGATAAGGACTCAAGTGTTTTTTTTTTTCTTTCTTGCTATTGTTTCTAATGTATTTATAAGGTACCACGTGATTTTTTGTTGCTTTGTATGTCCCTCCCCCAAAGTATAACCCTTGTTTTCACTGCATTTGATGTTGGTATAATTTGGGGAGGGGAAGGGAAAAAACAAATTGTTTAAATAGGGATACAGGTGGACCCATTGCAACAATGAGATGTTTAAGATGCTGTGTCAAAACACGAACTTTACAATTTAGGCCGGGGTGGGAAGTGTTGGGGAGAGAGTGTAGTTGTGGAGATGGGAGGGAAGGGATGGTAGGGGTAAAACAAAGAAGGAGGCAACAATGCTTGATAATAAAAGTACACATTACCTTGCTCATGTGATTGTAACCCCTCTGTACAGTATTTTCACAATAAAAAACATATTAAAAAATCTTGCTCAAGAGAAACAAAACTATTCTTGTTACAAAAATCTGAGAGGAATTTTTCCAGGGTATCACTGTGAAAATGACTGTGGTCTCAGAGCTTTCTAGAACAGCCCATAGGAAGAGCGATTTCACAGAACTATCCTGCAGCAAATGAAGTTATATCTCTCATTAGCACAGGTTTAATAAATAACAATAATAATAATAATAAAAGGTTTAATTCTTGTGCTTGGAGGCATGGTCCAAGTAGAAGAGGGCCCATCTAGCAACCATGGGGTCCTGAGTTCAAACCTTCAGTTCCATTAAAAAAAAAAAGATACAATTCTGGGACTGAGGTTCCAGGCCCAGATGTTAATAAGTTATTCTAGAATAACTATGAACTCTTTTTTTTTTTCTCATTTAAGCTTCCTCAAGTACTTGGAGAAAAGCTTTTCTTTCTTTCTTTTTTAAATAAGTTTTTTTTTTTTTATTGTGAAAATACTGTACAGAGGGGTTACAGTTATATGAGTAAGGGAATGAGTACTTTTTGTTGTTGTTGTTGTTGGTTGTGGGGCCTGAACTCTGGGCCTGGACGCTGTCCCTCAGCTCTTCAGCTCAAGGCTAGCACTCTACCACTTGAGCCACAGCGCCATTTCTGGCTTTTTCTGCTTATGTGGTGCTGAGGAATTGAACCCAGGGCCTCCTGCATGCAAGGCAAACACTCTACCACTGAGCCACCTTCCCAGCCCCATGAGTACATTCTTATGAAGCACTGTTGCCTTCTCCTTTGTTTTTCCCTTACCATCCCTTCCCTCCCACCTCCTCAACTACACTCCCCAAAGCTTTTCTTTTTTATTCTAGTTGCATACCAACACAAGTGCTTTAGTAGAAGGGAGAGGTTTAGTTTGAGCAGACTTACTTTGAAAGCTCAGGAGCCAGGTAGCAGTAGTGGCCTGTAGGGCCACTCAGCTGTACAGGTAAGTTGAAGATGCGCCTGAACAAAAAATTCATCCTGCACTATAAGTTGTCTTGAATCTGTTTTAATACCCTTACAAATTGTAACATAAAACTCCAAAGTCTTTTTATACCCTGTGTGGTAGTCATAATGAATTTAGTCTGGGAGATTTTTTTTTTAATGTGTACATAGTCAGGTAGCTATGTGATGGAAAAGCTCAGCATGCTCATAAAACTTTGTCCAGCTTTGAACAGTGTGACTTCTTGATTTATCTGAAAGTAAACTATGTGCCAAATATATACCGAGGAAACTGGATAAGGGAACTTGGTGAGTAGGACTGTTTACAAGCTAGTTAAAAATAGAAGGACAGCCTACCGAAGGCAGTGTAATGTGTTTACACGCAGTAATTTCTGCATACCTCTTTTCTGGTTCCTGCTAGTCGATGAAGGCATTCCTTATTAGTCATAACATAATAAAAGCACCTTAAGTTTAAAAAACAATAAGAAACTACTTATCAAAATTGTCAAGGGACCACATGCACTCGATTGTACAAAATAACATTATTAATGAGGAAGTCTGGATATTAATTCTGGATATTAATTGTCAGATGTATATTTGGCAAAGATTTTCTCCCATTCTGGAGACTGCCTTCAGGCTCCTCAATTGTTTTCTTTGCTGTGAAGAAGCTTTTTTTGTTGGACACAATCCTTACTTGTGTCCATCCTTACTCTTATTGATTGAGGTATTGGACTTCTATTTAGGAAGTTATTGCCTATTCCTATGTCTCAGCATTTTCAACTTCATGGAAGTTGAATTGAATCTACTTTGTCTTCTACTTGTGGATGTCCAGTTTTCCCAGCACTGTCTGTTGAGAAAGATCTCTTTCTCCTAAGTATTTTTTTTTTTGGTACCTTTGCAAAAATCGGTTGGCTATAACTTTGTGGGCAATTCTGGGCCTTATATTCTGCTGTAGAGGTCTCTGTGTTCATTTTTGTGCCAGTATCACGATGTTTTTGCTACGATGGCTCAGTAGTATAGTTTGAAGTCAGCTGTTGTGAGATTTCCTGCATTGCCCTTTTCACTCAGGATTGTTTTGGCTATCATCTAAGGTCTTTTGTGGTTCCATATGAACATCATGATTATTTTATTTCTGTGGAGAATGTCACTGAAATTTTGATGGGGATGCCAATCTAACAATATTAAGATTTCTTCTCACTTCAGCTAAGATCAACAACATAAACAACAACAAATGCTGGTTAGGATGTCGGGGAAGGGTTAAAGAACACCATTGGTGGGAAAGCAAATTAGTACAACCAGTTGGAAAACAGTATGGTGGTTCCTTTAAAAACTAAAAATAGAACTACAGTATGGTCCAACAAGATCACTCTTGGGAAATCAGAATATCCTACAGACACTGTACACATGCTTATTTTAGCCAAACTATAGAGGCAGCCTACCTGTCCTACAACTAGTGAATGGTCACAAAAACGTGGTATGTAGACACAGTGAAGTATTTTACACTCATAAAGAAGAATGAAATTACGTCATTTGCAGGAAAATGATGGAACTAGATATCATCATGCGAAACAAAGTAAGCCAGATTTAGGACAAAGGTCACATGTTTGCTCTTCTATGAGGAATCTAGTTGTAAAAGACAGACAGACATCTGTACAGAGCATGATTATAATGGAGGGACAGTTTGGAGAATGTGGAAGAAAAGGAATATGAGAGAATGATGGAGGGTGAATAATATAAAAGTACATTGCTTATGCATCAAGCTGGCAAAAGAAATTTGCTGAAAATTTGAATAATAGAAGGGTAAGGCAGATATGAAATGAGAGCAGTACAGGGGACTGAGCTGGCTAAAGCATCATGTATGCATGTGTGAAATACCATGGTGAAACCTTTTTTTATAGTTACTATGTACTAAAAAAAATGACTGACAAGAATGTAACAGGTTCTTTTGAGGGTTGGACACCAGTGAGAAGAAAGGACAAACATAGAGGGTGAACGGTGAATATGCAAAATATTTTATATACACATATGAAAATGGAACAGTAAAACATGTTGAAATTGTTTTATGAAGGGAGGGAGGAATGAAGGATAGCAGGAGTAAGTTTGAGCAGAGGACATTGTATGCTTGCATAAAAATATCACAATGAAATAACCTATATAATCAACATATGTTAACAGAAAAAAATATATTAACAAAATGTGGATCTAGAAAACACTCTTCTACCGTACAGAAAAAAATTCCATCCCTAGACTTTCTACTTCAGATCTTTCAGAACTGAGGGCTGGTTCTAAGTACTCATAGGACAATTTGCAGATAGTTACTGAATAGCAGGGTTTGTGTTACTGTCAAAGATTGAATAACGCTGTGGCTCTGTGATGCTCATTGCTGACTTTTTCTATTAATCTGCCTAGAAGTCCAGTGTCTGGTCCTTTCTACCAGTTACCTTGTGGTCACTCTGATGTTAGTTGATCGTAGGGAAGATCAAAGGCAGAATATCAATTGACTGGAATACCCAGAAATTCCGTTTGCAGCGTTAGTTCAATCAGTGATTTTATGGTATTTGGTCATATCTCCTGAACATTCTGTCTCTCAGCCAACACCATCTGTTGAACTAAGTTCGTAATAACTGCCCTGGTCTGTCTCACAGGAATGCTGCCTGGGCAAATTAGATAAGTGTAAAAGTGCCTCGGAGGTAAAGCCAATTTATGAATAAAAATTAGTGTGGTACAGCTACTGGAAAGTGTGTTGCAGAGGCTAGAATGGTTCATCTCTGCAGGCTTCATGACTAGATAAGGCTACATAATGGGTTCCTGTCAAGTGAACCAAATCCATCTTATCAGTTCATGACTGCATAGCAGGTAATGGGAAAAGTCTCTTTAAAAACATTTGTTTCCTCAATCCAAATGTGCATTAAAAATCAATACTGTTTAGGGAGGAGCAAGGGCAGAGTAGCTAAACAATAGATGTAAAATTTCAAATGCATGAGTTGAATAAGATGGACAGTCTGTAGGTAATAGATCTGTGCTGCGTACTTAACATCTTTTGAGAGTCGATCTCATGCTAAATGTCCTACCACAAAAAGATGACATTCAAAAAGACAGCCGTATTTGAAACAAGATCTTTCCAAATGGCTTCAAACAACTCATAATACAGGGTTCATAGATTCTGTAGTTCATTTTGGAGGGTGAAAAATTGATGTTTGGGGCTGGGAAGGTGGCTCGGTGATAGAGCGCTTGTCTTGCATGCATCAGGCCCTGAGTTCAATTCCCCAGCACCACATAAGCAAAAAGAAAAAAAGCCGGAAGTGGCGCTATGGCTCAAGTGATAGAGCGCTAGCCTTGAGCTGAAGAGCTGAGGGACAGCGCCCAGGCCCAGAGTTCAGGCCCCATGATCGGACCCCCCCCTCCCAAAAAAAAATTGATGTTTAATGAAGTTAAGAAATAAGTAAATGCGTGGAGAAGAAATATTGACTATTGTCTTTTCTCTGATAATAATTACCACTTTTGTAAAAACTTGGAAATTACCAAATGTTTCTTTATTTTCTAGAAATATCAACTCATCTCTCTTTAAAACACACATTGTTGCTCTGCTGCTTCATTTCGGTCCCTGTTACATAGATCCTAATGCACAATCTTTGTTATGATATAGACATGTTGACTTATGGTAACTTAGTAATAACTGCCACTAAGTAATCCTCCAGTGATAGTCAGAGTGGGGTGAGGATGGTGACCTTTCTTAAGTGCTTGGTTCCTTTACCCCTCTCCACATAAATGCACAATCCCTGTGAACATTCACAGTACCCTGTAACCAGTTCTGTGCAGGAAAATGAAGCAAGTGTTTGATTGGATATAGCATAAAAATGTCCTATCCATGATAACAAGAAACTCTGATCATCAAGTCAAGTTGATCTGTTTTCTTCTGGCAGGGGACCATTCCTAGTGGCACTGGGGAAATCTTGGCACCCAGAAGAATTTAACTGTGCTCACTGCAAAAATACCATGGCCTACATTGGATTTGTAGAGGAGAAAGGGGCTCTGTATTGTGAGCTGTGCTATGAGAAATTCTTTGCTCCTGAATGTGGTCGATGCCAAAGGAAGATCCTTGGAGTAAGTACTAGAAGCGATTTTTTTTTTCATCCTTAGTGAGTTCTGCAGCAAAATAGTTGTTCTGTTATAAAACACTTCCACCATTTATACTTGTTATTTTCTTTTTGTTTTATCAGCCCTCTCTACTTTCATCACTATTTATTATTGTAAAGCAAACCTAAATAGACCTCTGTAGAAGTATATCAGACTCGTGGGGTTAAGTTGTCCTTGGTTTTGTCTTACTGAGTGCTGGCTTGTCTGGCAAAAGTCTCCACTGTGGGGAAAACATAACTTTCTGTGGGTGTGCTACCTCCGCAGGACCCTGTTTGCTCAGGAATGAAGAGGTCGCCCAGGACCACACACATCACACTTCTCAGAACTGACACCTTCACTGTTTTAAATTAAATTCCAGGACTTTTATAAGAGCAGCAGTTCCCCACTTGTTGGGGTTCAAGCACAGGACACTGACCTTATGAAGTGTATAAAACATGAGACTTACAGTAGATACATTTACCTTCAATGCATATAATGTTTAAAAATGTAACTACAAAAAATGTAACTACAGTTTTGAGTACACAGGTAATAGAAAAATCGTTTCAAACCACACCTTTTTTTTTTTTTGCAGAAAGGGAGTGATTTAGGACCCAGATGCATGATAAATAATGATGAATAAATGCATGTGCTGTTCTGGAATATCTTAATTGCCAGTGATTGAATCAGGGACAGCTTGTTCTTGAAGGGGACTAGGAGGTAGAAGTTGATTTTCAAAAAAACTTTGTTGCCTGACCACATTTTAAAGAAAAAGTCAGAAATGGTTTTGCTAAATTCTAATACTCTCAACAGGAAAACATAGTCATGAAATTAATTTGTATTAATTGAGAAGAATGTATGAATTATTGAGTGAATAGGTCTAAAACTGAAGATACTTACGTATGTCACCTGAAACATTTCTATTATTAACTTGTACAATATTTTGGGAATAAAGAGAATAGGGGTTTCAGTTATACCAATGGCAGGTAATTAGTAAGGAATACATTGTAATGTATGAGTGTGTTGTATGGATTCCAGAATCTGAGGGCAGTAAGGTTCTAGGATATGGAACGAACCAGTTGCCATGTTCCTCACTGTTCTTCAGAAATTATTTTTGAATGACTGACTTTTTCTCAACCCAAAGAAATACTTCATTGTAAAACCAACTCCCTCAGACCTCCTTTATTCATTAAAATTGGGCTCAAGTCTCTCATGCCTGGTATAGTTAACCAGAGGCCATTGCAGATTAGAATTATGCTTTATGGTTCAAATACTTTTGGTACAGTACATGCTAGGGAAGTCACAGCTGATTCCAAATTGCCAACTGCAAGCTAAACTAATTGGATTATGCTAATTATATCACCAATTTTTTGCTTCCATAATGTACCAGAATAAGCATTTTTTCCTTTTCATATGTTTCCTCTCCTTGATAGAAAACTATTAAGCTAATATTTTCTGACCCCTTTGAAAGAAAGCAGACTTCTGTAGTCACTCACAATTATGAACTACTTCTTTTATTTACCATCTATGTAAAGTTTTTTTTTTTTTGTTTTTGTTTTTTTGGTTGGTCATGGGGCTTGAATTCTGGGCTTGGGCACTGAGCGCTCTACCACTTGAGCCACAGCACCACTTCCAGTTTTTAGTGGTTTATTGGAGATAAGAGTCTCATGGACTTTCCTGCCCAGGCTAGCTTTGAACCACGATCCTCAGATCTCAGCCTCCTGAGTAGCTAGTATTACAGGCGTGAGCCACTGGCACCTGGCCATCTATGTAAAGTTTTAGTAACAATAATTATTCTCTTAAAAAGGTCATTTATTGGTCTTTGTGAGAAGCACACATATCACAGTGCGTAGGTGTCAGGGTATGTGAGTCTGTTTTTAGGTATCTCCTGTTACTTTGAAGACAGGCTTAAGGGGAGGTGACTTGGTGTGTCTGCTTTAGGTTAGCTCTTCTACAAGCGTGAGAGTAAGCTTTGGTTTATTTATTGTCATCTCTCTTTCACCCCATTTAACTTCTATAACAGGAAGTCATCAATGCTTTGAAACAAACTTGGCACGTTTCCTGTTTTGTGTGTGTGGCCTGTGGAAAGCCCATTCGTAATAATGTATTTCACCTGGAGGATGGGGAACCCTACTGTGAGACTGGTAAGAGCATGAGTCCTTAGTTTGAGAGTTGAGTAAAGGTAAAATATGAACCCTTATCTTGCTATAAAGTTATTAGACCACCTGGTTTCCCTAATTGTTCTGAAGGCATTTCATTCCACCTCAATTATATAGCAGAGTGTAGAAGGTGTTTATATGACTTGGTCAAAACAGATATTCCCAACTTCATTATGAGAACTCAAAATGTAAAAATAAGCACTGTTCAGTAGGAAAAACATTTTGCTTGAATCTCTAATAACTTATTGATATATTTTCAACTAAAACATGTAACTTAAAGCTACCTCCACAGTCTACTAGTGAATTTTGGGTGGTTATAAACATGAATGTGTTCTGGCTTTGCTCTTCTATGCAACTGCCTTGAAAAGTCAACTGGAAATCCTTTGTTTCTCCTACTTGACTTGGATTGCTTCTCTGGAAATACTATTTTTCATTAACTCAGCTTTAAGAACTTATTTATTCCATTGTCTTATTAGCTGAGTTTTGCATGCCTCGATGTCAGTGAATTTTGTAACACTTACTTATAGTCTCTTTAGATATTTCTACCACAAAATGTATTACAAAATATGGATTTTTCCCTTGATCATACCTCTACTTCAGTCCCACTATTTAGTTTAATTTTATTTTACCTTGGAACTCGAAGTGTCATTCTAGAGAAGAGAATATTCCAGAATGATCATGTTCAAAATTAGCCAGTGATGAACCATCATCTGTAACTCCTTCTCTTAGACTCTTATTTTCGCCTCCCTTTTGGCTCCATAATGAGAAACAACTTGGATCTATTCCACATTAATCACCAGTGAGCACTAGAAATTCTAGAAAAATACACCGTGCACCATTTGATATAGTTTAGCTACAAGCTGCCTACACTATTCAGTCAAGACATAATTGTAGTTCTTCTGAAGAGACTTTTTGTGTGTGGTTGTTGGTTAGTTGGTTTTCTTATTTAGTTGCTTAGTTGTCTTGACTGACAGTCCCTTCCTCGCCAAAACACATTCCTATCTAACTTTTCTATATTTAATGTATTCGAAGAAGTCAAATTCTTAAAACCCAAAGCATTACCAAACAGGAAAAATAGTACTGAATATTTATTTAAATGTTGCTTCTAACTAATTTGGTCTTTTTTTCTCTTAACTTTTCAAGTCAGTTTTTAACACAGTCTTCCTTATCTTAATAGATGTTTCCTCTATCCACGATCCGTGGGTTCAAAGTGAAAAGTAAAATATGAAGAATACAATAAAGCATGTCAAATTGTATAAATAATGATTGCTAATGGAAACCTGAACTCTCAAGCCAAGTATTAGACAGCTTGAAATTTTTTGTGATCCCATGTATCTTTACCTTCAGTATTTCATTTAATTCCAATTTTGTTGCTCTTTTCTACGAATTATCAAACTTTGTAAAGTTTGACTCCTTTCTCTCCTCCCTCAATAGATTATTATGCCCTTTTTGGTACTATATGCCGTGGATGTGAATTCCCCATCGAAGCTGGGGACATGTTCCTGGAAGCCTTGGGCTATACTTGGCATGATACTTGCTTTGTATGCTCAGTAAGTAAACTCTATCTTCCTAATTAAATTGGTAGACTATGGCTAGTTCTAGTGCTAATATTGTGTAATCCTTAATAAACATAATTTTACAGTGATTTGAAAAATTATTACAGTTTTGGTATTTTCTGAAATTATCTGCCAATTATCTGAAATTATCTGAAATTTTCTGTGTTAATACTTTAACACATTTTGATCTATAAGGAGAAGCTATGTATCTCCTATATAGAAATATTAAATCAGTAATAATTTTTTTTCCTAAACTTTATTTTTTTGAGCATTTTAAAGTAAAATTTTGAGCCATCAGGTAGTTCTTAAAAAGAAAATGAGAGAAGAGGTAATACTGTTCAAGAGAAATGTACTCATTACTTGACTTATGTAACTGTAACCCCTCTGTACATCACTTTACAATAAAAATTAAAAAGTAACAATTATAAAAATATCATTCTGGGGCTGGGAAGGTGGCTCAGTGGTAGAGCGCTTGCCTTGCATGCCTGAGGCCCTGGGTTTGATTCCTCAGCACCACATAAGCAAAAAGAAAAAAGCCGGAAGTGGCGCTGTGACTCAAGTGGTAGAGCACTAGCCTTGAGCTGAAGAGCTGAGGGACAGCGCCCAGGCCCAGAGTTCAGGCCCCACGACCGGACCAAAAAAATAAATAAATAAATAAAAATTAAAAAATATCATCCTATGAACACTGACAATCAGCTCTTGATTCTTTTATTTCCTTAGCAACAGCACACACATATTCTTTTCTTTTAGAGACTGTAATCAACATGAAATCTTTACCTATTTTTTAGCCATCTAACATTGTAACATTTTGGCTTCATTTTTAGAGGGTAACAGTCATCTAAGATGCATTTTTTTAATTTGAGAAATAAAGACACTTTAAATATTCACTAAAACTGAATACACAAGTGCTCTGTTCCAATGGAATTTTAAAATAAGATGTTATATCACTAACTTCTGTATGACAGGAAAGAAATAATGTTAATTAGTCAGATGATTGCTCCAAAAGTTGCCTTTGATCTGACTCTTGTTTACTTCATCTGTCTTAAGATTTGTCCAGGTCACACATAGCAACTCTTGGCCAATTCATTTTCTCTTTTCTAGCAAGGCTGTTCAGGGGCATTACAATGGGCAAAAGCTGTAGGAAAGGCAAGAAGCTTAACTGTCTGTCTGACATATCTGTCTGTCTGACTGACATAACTGTCTATCAGCCAGATAGTTCCTCAATGAGCCAGTGAATTAAAGAGATTTCTCTTATGAATCAATAATTTAATAACAGAAGTAAATCTTAAAAGAAATTTACTCTCTGTGTTCAGTGCAGACTAATGTTGGACTTAACACAGGTTTGGACAAGCAATTGAGTTGTGTGTGTGCTCTATAACAAGAAATGGATACAAATGCATTGATGATAATTTAGAGAGAGAAAGTATATTGAGTATTTCCTTGTTATGTATTAACATTTCACTAAAACTGTTTCACTCTCAACAAGGAAAAGTAATGATTAGTGATTTAAATAAATTGAATTACATCCCCTTCAAAAGTCCTTCACTGCTTTAAAAGTCCACATGAAATGTCACAGTAATCTTGAGATGTCAGGTTGTATAACAGCCCTGTGTGTAGTGCTTTGTCATATGATCTGCTAGAGAACCGTCATGGTCCTCTTCCCTGGCATACTTGATTAAAATACTGATATTCTCTCAATACTTCTTTTCCAGGTGTGCTGTGAAAGTTTGGAAGGTCAGACATTTTTCTCCAAGAAGGACAAGCCTCTTTGCAAAAAGCATGCTCATTCTGTGAATTTTTGAAAGCCAGCAGTTCAGAAGAATTTTGAAGAAAAAGGAAAAGAATTAAATTACCAATTAAGTTTTAGATTATTTTCATGAAGAGTTGAAAACTAATAGTATCCTGAAGAGAAACTTCTATCATTAAAAACCAAGTCTATGAGGAAATACTTGGTTTTATAAAAAGGACAGTTTAGCATTTAGTAGTACTTTTTCCTGTATTCCCCCCCCCCCCCAATAACCTTTATCAGAGTTCTTCTGATTGACTATTAAAGTCATCTTAGAATACATCAAAGAATGAAATTTTAGGAAGAATGCCTCTAGTCTCTATTCTGAAATAATTACACTTTCCTTGATAGTTATGAGAGTATGTGCAAAAAGCAGTAGAAATGACTTAAACTTTATTAATAAGAGAATCATGGTTAAAAAACTGTTTATCTTTGAAATAGTAAATAAGAGTTTAAACAGAATATTATCAGTAGGAAGTGTCAGTTTCATTGAAAATGTGTGTACTTTTCTTTTGGTCTTAGAATTGATCATTCCAGTGGGAAAGGCCAATGAGACTTTTGCTCAAAATGTATCCAGCCAATAAGAGTGTTACATTGTTCTCTTTTCTCTACCTTCCTCCCCAGAACTGCATATAGCTTACATATCTCAATTGTTGCTTTTATTGAAATAGGACAGTTTCTATTTACTGTGTATACTTTATCACCTGTATTAGTCAAACTCCAATTTTTTCCCTCCCTCATATTGAGATACAGAGCTGATTAAATAGCTTGAAGCTCTACAGTTTTCTCTGTTCTGCGAAGAAATAGGTAGTAGATAGTTAGGAGTTGTGGTAACCGAAGGATTGTGCCTAACCTAAACAACAAACCAAAAGAACCACTTTCCACTTTCAGATGATGAAAATCTGATCACTTGTAGGCCTATGCCACTGACTGAAAATTTGAGAGCTCTTCTTGCTAAGGGATAAAAAAAAAGTTCTACATTAGGACTGGTTAGACAGCTGTGATAAAATGGTGTGTGTGTGTGTGTGTGTGTGTGTGTGTGTGAGTGTGTGTGTGTGAGTGTGTGTGTGTGTGTGTGTGTGTGTGTGTGTTGGGGTTTCTTCTTTGGGAAGCTTTTAGTCCCAGAGTTTCAGTATCCTGGGAGGAGAATTTGCTGAATTATTTGGATTGCCTTGTTATTTATTTTCCCAATGGGTTAAAGAATTATGGAGATACCACCTGGAGACACAGAAACAATTGTGGTAAAACTGTGGGTACCGTTAATCTCTGCCCAGTCAGAAAACAAATTATGGCATTTAGTACATTTAGTAGCTTTCTCTTTGTTTCTCGAGTGGATGAAAGCCCATGGTCCCGCTGCAGTATAATTGGAATCTGTTTGGGGCAAGGTGCTTTTAAAGGCCAGACAGTCCACACATCCTTCCAGCCCCATCACTCACTCCCACTCTGGGCCCATTGTGTGCATGTTTGTTACAGAGGAGGTTTTAGGCTATACTATTTGTTTAACCTCCCTAAGAACTTTCAAGGCATCTGTCCTGAAAGCTGTTAATGTATGGTCCTTCAGGCTTATATTATATGCAGATAATAATTAACTGGGGATAAAGGAATAACAAGGGGTGACACAGTTGCAAACTGAGTGCTTCTCCCATAGCAACCCCACACTACCTCCCACCCTGCATCTTGTGTAGGGGGCAGGAACTGAATTGTGCATTATCTCAGCGCTGCTGAAGCCCCCTAGAGGCGACTTGCTGGCCCAGGACACCCATCTCCACGTCATTCTTTCATTCTGTGTATTACAAAACAAATTGGTGGTTTTGTTTTGGCATGTTCGCGTTTTGTTGCTTTAGTTTTGCCTTTCTAGATTTTATGCCAAGATAATATTTGATAAGTCAGTGCCATTTGGGTATGGTCTTCAAAGATTTTTTTTATTTAACCTGGATTTCTCATCAAGTTATATTTCTTTAGGAATATATATCATGTTTATTAGACTTTTTATTCTACATATTATTCATGGAGCATAATGTAATGTAATGGAGCATAATAAAATCCAGATTTTAAATCCTAAGAGAGTAGCGTTGCTTCCTAAGTTATCTTTGTGTCCATATGCTTTATATCTGTGTTCCTAAGACAGTTAATCCTGTGAAATAAATACTGACCATAACCCAGAAGTATCTCTGTATTTTCTGGTGGGGATTGCCATGTTTAATTCACCAACATTAATATTTTAATAACTGACAGAGCACTTTATTCTTCTGGTGAGCTCCCTGAATATTTATTTTTCTGATTATAAATATTCTGTGTCTAGCAGGGTTATTATTATTATTGCTTCTTTAGAGCATTGACGTGTACTCTCTCAAGATATATATTTTGAAGTGTACTTGATAAAAACGCAGAGGGAAATTAGCATATGACTCTAAAAAGCCTCTACTTGTATTTACCAGTTCTCAAACTTTCATGGTAGAGTCATATGTATAGCATTTCTCTAGAGTTACGTGGGCTGTGGGTTGCAGCTTTTAAAAACAATGAGCTAGGTCATTTCGGTTGCCCATTGGCCACAGCGTACATGTTACGTATTAAAGATCAAGATTATACCTGAAATGTAAAACCTAAATGTTCGGTCTCATTAATACATAGAGGGAAAAAAATTTCAGTCATCAATATCGGTGTCGCAGTGTTTATGATTATCCCTCCCACCCCAAAATGTACCACTGTTGCAGGGCAGTCACTGTGTTAGGAATGCTTGTATATGAAAGAATTCCCTTTCCCAGTTCAAATATGGATCCAGGATGATGTTTAGCATCTTTGCGACACTGGGTTTAGTCATCCCCACTGAAGGAAAGAGAAAATGCACTGAATAGTTTTACTTCCGTGTGAGTTTCAGTGTGTCCCCTTACCCCAAATGTCTAAAGGTATTGAATTGAAATTCTTGAGTTGCAATTTGGCTTACTAATCGCCAACTTCTGTTTCTATAAGTTTTTTAAGTGTGTACATATCTGCTGTGTTTTGCTGTTGGATATATTTTTGCATTAAAAAGTCACATAAGAAATATAATCAGTGTATTAATACCTTAATGGGCACATAATCAATAAATGACAGCCATGGTGAAGACATGCTCTCCTGGTTTTTCTTTGTGAATGACATATGGCTATTAATGTATCATGTGGTGGGGGGAGGAGGAGCTGTAATAATTCCCTGGAGAATCCCTCTTGTGTGATATTTACCCTTCAAAATACCCCATAGCCAGCATATTTGAAAAATACAATTCTATTCTTTTTTTGGGGGGGGGGGTTCCGCTCGTGGGGTCTGAACTCTGGGCCTGGGCGCTGTCCCTCAGCTCTTCAGCTCAAGGCTAGCACTCTACCACTTGAGCCACAGCGCCACTTCTGGCTTTTTTCTTTCTTGCTTATGTAGTGCTGGGGAATCGAACCCAGGGCCTCAGGCATGCAAGGCAAGCGCTCTACCACTGAGCCACCTTCCCAGCCAATTCTATTCATTTTTATGTTCTGCATGTAGAATGTATATTAAAATATTGACAAGTTAGTAGATAAGCTCTCTTTTTAGAATTTTTTTTTTTTTTTTTTTTTTTGGAGTCTGGTCATGGGGCCTTGAACTTGGCTTGGGCGCTGTCCCTCAGCTCTTCAGCTCAAGGCTAGCACTCTACCACTTGAGCCACAGCACCACTTCTGGCTTTTTCCTTTTTTGCTTATGTGGTGCTGAGAAATCAAACCCAGGGCCTCAGGCATGCAAGGCAAGCGCTCTACCACTGAGCCACTTTCCCAGCCCATCTTTTTAGAATATTTTTTGATAATAATATTTATTGGAATAACTGATTTGATCAGGTATTAGGGTCACGGATCATGGTGAAGCTGAAATTGTCATGTACATTGTGACAGTCTGAATTAGCCAGAAGTGACTCTGGGTGTATCTCCTCCCAGTCTCCTGAGCTCCCATAACGAGGTAGACTCACCTCCTCCTTGTTTGTTTATTGGGTTGGGCAAGATTTTCCCCCCCAGTGTTATAAAGCTAAGAGGAATGCTGCTGTTATATGCTGTATATTGTGACCAAGAAAGAAATGCAAGTCTATTTGCTCACAGTATATTAAACTCCAGAAGCCCAGCTTTTAAGGGCATCAAGTCTGCATCTGACATTTTAATAGCTGCTGTTTGGTTTCTATCAATCACGTCATTGCACATTAAAATGCACCGACAAAATAAGAGATCTGTCATTCCTTCATTAAGAAACAGTAATCCAGTCCAAGATTTATAGGCTTAAGTCTCAACCGTGTGTTCACAATAATTCCCCATTCAGCGCTCAACCAGAGCAAGACTCCCTGTTGTTCAGTGTTTTCTAGTCAAATGTCCCTGATATTAAGATTATCAAAGGTTTTCTTACAGAACTACATATAAAAATCCTTTGGCCAGCAAAAAGCTTAATTTAAGGTGGCGGTTTTCCTTTTTGAGCACTCTCAGACAAGATCTTGGTTATATCAGAAACACATAAGGACTGATGTATTATTAGCAGGCCTGGTGTTAATTAGGGAGAATTACCAGAAATAGTTCGCCTTGTGGAAATTTATTACAGAATCACACTTGACTGATGGCAGAATAGGAGTTGCTGAGCGAGAGCAGCTCCTACTCATAACCACTAATTAATAGGGTGCCAAAATTCCGCAGAGGAGGGTTCATCCCTAGTGTGGGAAGCCTCGCGGGGAAAATGGTTCCCGTGCAGTATTTAAAATTTAACAGAGGAAAGGGGCCGGGCTCGGGGCTACCTAACAGGACCCTCAGCCTGCTAGGGTTTTAGGCTGTAGGCAGGATGGTTTAACTCAGTCAGTGCCATGCTGAACTTGAGTGGCCAGGATACTTGGAGTATCAAGGAGATGGTTATGTTAAGACACAGGTGGCGGGTATGGGATTCCTCCCCTATTTTATTATGTAAAAGACCATTTTTGTCTGTTGTATGATGTTACTGAAATTTCCTCACAATGCCATAATGTAGAAGCTACCAGGTAGGTGGCAAGATTGCATGGATGGTTAATTTAGGAAGGCGTTGGCCTGTATACCTTGAACTTCAGCACTTGACTGCACTAAAGGCAGAGCACCGGGAGAGGCCTGATCAATGAAAGCTTGCCAAGAAAGCCATTTCTTCCTGTGTGTAGCTCCATATAATCACACACCATCAAACTTGGAGCTGTTGTTGAGGGTAGAAGAATAAAACATTTCCATGTCAGGAAACCACTGATCACTGACCTCAGGGACAAAAATAAAACAACTTAGAATTTACAGAGTATAAGTTTCCAATTTCTCAATTATGGCAAATATAATTCCCAGGGAAAACAACTCCTTGAACTGACTGGCATGGTCTCTTGCTTCCATGTTTCTTTCTGTTCTTGTTTGTTTTTTTGTTCATTTCCATTCATCTGTCAAAGGACAGAATTTCTATCTTTTCTGCCCAAAATGTCTTAATTGCTCTCCAAAGTAGTTTTCCATCTTTTATGCTGAACATTTGCTCTCTAAATACTGTGGGTTGGCTTTTCCTTTTATTTCTTTTGCTCCTCAAATACAGGCTGCTGCTATTGTGACTTTTAAAAGTCCTATTGTTTCTTTGAAGTATTTGGATAAGCTGAACTAACTTCAGGTGTGGTTTCTGGTTGACCCTGTTTTGAAGAAGAAAACAGCTATTTTCTTCCTAAAGGGGAAAGTAATGGAAGTCTGCCAGCCATCATAGTTTTTTTTTTTTTTTTTGCATAAATAAAAGTCTCCTCAGGTGCCATCCTGTGTTGAGATCATTGTAATTCCAGAGACTTTCTCACCTGTTTCCTTCTAAATCCTGAGCGGCAAGCTTCCTTAGTTGAATGAAATGAGAAGAATCCATGGAGCTTTTCAAATATAAACTTTATAAGATACAATTTAAATTCTGCCCTCTTTTGATTCTCTCCTGCTAGATTACTAAGCTACTCTGAATTGTTTTGCTAGGTCTCTTGCAAAGGCTTTGAATAAAAAACAAAAACTAGAAAACTCTACAAGTAGGTGGAAGAGCAGTCTTCTTTGCCAAAGAACAGACACCAGTCCATGTGAATCTGTTAACACATGCATATGCTGATGCCTGGGATATCCAGTATTTTAACACCCATGAGAAAATGGCAACTCAGAAATGATTTTCCAAACATACAGCTATACTGGGTCAACTGCATCCTCCGCCTTAATATGCTAATTCCCACAGGTGCAGCTTGTGAAGTGTCAGGAATGACAGAGCAGAGAGCTCCAGCAGACCTGAATCTTCTGACTAGTACCGTTGCCTGGCACGTCGTACATCAGGATCTGGGAGGTTTGCACTGTTCCGTGTGTTCTTACAGGGGTATTTGTGATATGCTCGGCCCCTCTGCAATGTGCTATTAGCTTTGCTTTGGGTGTTCTCCACATTTCACAGTGTGACAAAACATCATGGGACTAATGAGAGCAAGTTGAAGTATCAGGAACACCAAATGTGATTATTAAACTAATTAGAAAGCTGTGGGAAATGCAATTAAAATCGCTTCCCCGCATGGAAGACCACAATACCTTTTTTTTTAAATAACATGTTGGAAAACAGGGGTCACAATGGTTGTTGACCCTGGTAATGCTTGTTACCTTTTTGTATGGTAGTGAGTCTAAAAAATAGAAGATGGAGGTGTGAGTGGAAAGTGGGTATCTGTCTCATTCTACTGACAAGATTGTGCAAGACTCTTGGTTTTATTCAACTGAAATAAAATCTCTCTGCTGTTTGGTAAGGGCAAGCAGATGCCACAAAGTCCACTGAAGGCCCAGCTGCCCTGACATATGTTGGGTATGACCTTTCCATCACTAAGAATGCTTCTGTCACCATGGGAGAAGTCTGGGGAGGATATGACGGTGATTTTCTACCTCTATGGAAAACATATTGAAGTGAAATTCATGCATGCCATACAGTGTGGCTAGAAATTACAGACTTGTCTGCTGGTGTTAAGGATCTGACCTGTGGAGAGTGCTCACACCTGCTTCTTGCATTCAACTTGCTAATCCTTTTTTCAGAAATTGAGACATCGTATAAGGTAGGGGAATGGACTGTTATGACTTAAATGTGTTTAGGTTCTGAAGCTGGTCCAAACTAAAATAGCATGGATGGGATGGAGGTACACTTTCATTACATCTTATGTCCACTCCACTCCAGAAACCCATGGGACTTGACTTTGCTCTCATTGGAGATCCATGGCTTGCTTAAATTAGCATTGCATTGTGTTCCAATGCGGAAAAGACTCAGTTATCAAAACATGTGAATATGGAAAAACAACTAAAGAATCTTGAAAAGACTGTAATAATGTTTACTTTCCTACGAATCATATTCAATTCTTGGTCTAATACAAGGGGGATCTAGTGGTATAAGGCGAAGAACTACGGTTTATCTCAAAACCAACTGTTTAATTGTCAAAGTAGGAGCACTAACCAGTAATAAACAAGTCTGGCAATTTTACATAAATATATGAGACACAGGCTTGCAGAAGAACACCTTGTTTGGGGTGAACCCCACTCTGGCATTTGAGAGGCTGAATGAAGGTGAATCATGATTATACCAGAAGGAATTCATGTACAGATATGTCACAGGCTGGCAAATAATCAAATCACTGCAAAAATCTTTTAAAAAAATCGTATTTAGTATTTACATAGGAAGAAAACAGCACTTTGAGGGAAGGAAGGGACAGTGGTAAGACCATAGCATTGGGACTCAAAATACTCAGATCTACTTAACCCTGCCACACACTCTACCAGGGGTCACTTGCAGGACTCCAAACCTCCCTTGGGTACCTCAACCCCTACCTCTAAAATGCTTATCAAAGTCTCTATCCAACCCCATAGACCTGTCTAGTAAATGATCATGGTTTCTACTTCCTAGCATTTCCAGTGATGATGGAGCTTCTTGTGGACTAGTGTCCTGGACAGTGTCCCAGTAGATCAACTCCTTTAACTTCATTTCTTCCTTTAGGAAATGTATAGCCTTGGAAAGCTCCAGAACTTGGCTAAGTCTGCATTTCACTTAGTGTGTGTAGACTCTCTTGGAGGATTCCATGTCTTGGAGAATTGTTATGATCTATAAATGA